TCGTGGTGGAGCTTTCATGTCAGGCGAAGTACAAACGTTCCTTCACGACAGGGGTGTGGCAACCAGTCGAACTACCCCATACAATCCACGCGGTAAGGGACAAGTCGAAAGGCTTAACGGTACCCTTTGGAGGTCCATCACTCTGACCCAACAACGGGACATTACTGAGTGGCAATGTGTGCTCCTAGATGCTTTGCACTCCGTTCGCTCCTTATTGTCTACCGCTACTAACACAACACCACACGAGATTTTTTAACTTCCACCGGAAGTCAACGTACGGCACCTCTCTTCCGACTTGGCTATCGACTCCAGGCCCCGTTCTGGTGAAAAGGATGACACGTTCCTCCGAATACGATTCGTCAGTAGAAGAGGTGGAACTTGTTAACTGCAACCAGTAGTATGCCCGCGTTCGTTTCGCGAACGGAGAGGAAGAAACTGTTTCTCTTAAACACCTGGCACCCAAAGTACAAAATATCTCACATGTCGATTTAACTGAATCAATCGAAAGTGTAGTGGCTCCTCCAGACGAGACTCAATCACACTCGCTTGATCCTCTGGGAGGCGAAACGGCACCACCAAAACAACCCGGTGAAGTTCCAGAGAATGTTCTACAGTACATCACAGACCAACAACGTGTTCGACCGTATAATCTTCGAAACCGCGAAGCCTAATCTATATTCTCCTGATAATAATCCCTCCGGCGGGAAGAATGTTATATACTGACGTTGTGTTTAACTTTTTACTCGCTATTCATTAAACTAATTGTTTCCTAATGTTTTAGCTGATGTACTGAAATTGTTAGAAGATTAAAGCCAATCATTCGGCAATCCTCATTCTCTATTTCTGGCACAATCATTCGAGTGCGCAACAGCCTTGCGGGTCAGACATTTGAGTCAAAGGTGGGGTATGTCAAATCAGCCCCCTTATCGGCCTGGGCAACCGGGAAGTATTAAATGCCCTTGCGGCTCTTCGCTCACCGACCTCCCACTTCGTTCCCCCCCCCCAACCCATCGTACAATACAGTGCAATCAAACTCACCTGCCAATCCCATGGCCACTGTCCTGTGTCTTAACCATCGCCCAGAAAAATAAACTGAAATAATCACCTACTAACTGTCATGACCATATAAACCATAAGTTTGCATGGACCATTAACTCTTAATTTTCACTCTATATTTTCGGCTCATGTACTGAGTTATAAGACGATTAAAGCGTACATTACGCCCTTCTACTCTGTCTTCCTTCTAACCTCGTCCTGGAACTACTCGACTCTCGCAACATTTTAATCGTCTAATAAAGAAGCGGATCATGTTCTGCGACCCATGGTTGTTGATGCTGATCTTCACTCATCAGATGGCGTGCAATGATGGACCCATTGGTTCCGTAGCTTCAAAGCTCATATTACCTCAATCAAACCTGAAGGTCTAAATAAATTGGAAACTCTCAAGTCATACTGATCATACAGTGTACGGCTTCGTTGTTGAATGTGGCGACTATGATTCTGCGATAACCTTGCTTTTGCTCGAAAGATATCATGTATGCACGCCATCTTTTATCTACATAAAAACAAGAAGCTGGTCAAGATGTCGACCAGTTCGTCCAAAAACTGAAGTCACTTGCTAGAGACTGTGAATGCAAAGCAATATCTACTGTTGAACATACAAACGAAGCAGTTCGGGGTGCTTTGATAACCGGACTGCAGTCAAATACCATTCGGGAGAAACTGTTAACGCGGCATGAATTGGATCTTGACAAAGCCCACGAAGCCGCACGAGCTCTCGAACTTGCTCACACTCACAATCATACATATACAGACAACCCGTTACTTGTTCCGTGTACAACTTCGTCTATTGTTGATTCCGAAACAACAGATTCTGACGATAAACAACAAACATGCAACTTTTGTGGGAACTCCAAGCACCCTAGTTATAGGTGTCCCGCTAAGGAATCAGTTTGCAAAACCTGTAGAAAAATTGGACATTTTCAATGCATCTGTAAGTCCAGAACCTCGAAATATCACGCGGGTTCAGCTCAAGAGTCCTCAATCTCTTCGCTGTTCTGTGCTGCTGCTCCCAATTACCTATCCAAAACTACAACAGATATTTCGGCAGCTCCATAAGTCACGTTTCTTCATCAATCCTACAAACTCACAACTGAAAACTATTTCCGTATGATTTTGTGAGTGCACCAATTTATCAGCTCCTGCTTGCAATGCGCAGCTACCTAATCCTCCCTCCGCCGATGAATGGGTACAGGCGATAAAATCAATGTTTTGTTCCGACCCCCCTAGATTGACTGGTGACGTACGCACTGAACTGCGTAGGGCGCAGTATAGGCCCGGGGGACTCTCCGTTAAACATATCTGTCCATCTTAACCATGTAGCTGCGGTCTCGCAAGTCACCCATTGGTATGTTAAAGATGGCAGGAAGCTACTGTCCTAAAAAGCCCGGAGTGTTGTGGTGCACTCTGCCGGACGCCCAAATGGTTGACGAATGACCTGACCAGCTGACCTCGCACAGCTTTTGCGCACCAGCCACAAACTCGCAACACGTGACCGGCTAATTACAGAACCATGCGCTCCAATGCTTTTAGGACCTTCACTTTAACGTGATGCTATCGGATCCACTTAGATCATCTATTCAACATCAGTACGATCACTGATGTCGGGTTATGCTTGTCTTCACTCTAACAGAATGGCTTGATGATTCCTCCTTTACACGTCGTCTTTCACAAATTAGTTTATCGCAGCAACAACTGGAGAAAAATGTAAGTCAGGCAGTAGAGTATTCCCGAATGGAAACCATCAGGTTGAAAACTTTCTGTTCGTCAAATTCGAGCAGGATCTAGGTTAGTTCAGACGCAACACAGCTGGGCTTGTGTTCGGCATATTTCGCCATTCAGCCTGGGATCTGCATGGATGAGCCAGAGACAACTGTTCCGAATTGTAATCCGCGATTTGGCCCATTTCGTTTATTAATGACGGTAAATCCTCTACTTTGCTGAGTCCGCAGTTGATGTAGGTGAAGACCAGGTGCGGTTGCCACTGCACCTGGATTAAATGGGAATAGTACGCTTTGTTTAAACCCCTTCCGCAAATTGAATTCATTCATCCACCTCGCACAATTCACAGATCCTCTTCGTCTAGCAGGTGTTCCACAGCTAGTGTCTGTCTCGTAGAGACAGAAACCCTATCCATCAAGGCCTTCTTCCACGGGCACCATTAAATTTCATGGGTTAATGCGGGACGAGTGAAACTTGTTCTTGAGCCATCCTGCATCGAGTTCTTATGGCAGAGAATGGGTGACATCGATAGGTTCCCAGATATTATGGAACACAGGTGAGAACCTATGCGTCTCGACGAAAGCCGTAGACCACCGTGAGCTCGAGGCCTAACAGTTGACCGTCCATGGGGAATTCCGCTGATAGCTTCAAGGTAAAAAAAATTCTATATCCAGGTGAGTCTCGGTATTCAAGTTCCAAATTCATTTCGCTCAACAAGTATCTGCGCACGTTGCACGCTCGGGTTGCAAGCGTAGCCCCACAACCTTTCCACACGTTTTTATCGACATTCTCATGGAAAAATGCGAAAGCAGCTTATTTAACTCATTGGATGTGTAAGGGCTGATTCTATAACCGTCACAGATAAGCGTACCTTGAATCCGCCCACGGCAGACCCGAGGAAACAGCCTCAGAAACGAAAGCGTCCTCCAAGGGACCTTGAATGATTTTTAAGCGAACAAACAACACTCCCAGTTCCATAGTCTTTGCAAGTTCCATTTATTTCGAATTAGCACACTAGACATAGATAATGGTGGCACACAATTGTTCGGCTCCTTGTATCACTGGCATCCCGGTAGCTCGTGCATCTGTGACAACAGCACGTAAGCGGGAAGCGCAAACAAGCCTACACCATTAACGCACAAGATGATTCAACAGGAGGATCCGGCCACTTACTGACTAATATGCAGGATCAGGGCATTCGCCAAAGCTTATTGGGTAGGGTTATTTCTTGTCGCCAAGCGAATTCCATTCACCTCAAAGGTCTAACCTAAAAACGATTCAGTAATGCTCTGAAGAGTTGGTCGAGTCAACGTCAACGCTGAACATTCTATCTTACATGGAGCCTCGATCTGAGGTAGAATTTCCCCTCAAATTCCGTAAGGCTCAAGCTTTCAGCTGCAGGGCTCAGTTGAATGCTTCTGAGAAGTTGGAGAACATGGCATACGGTGGGTCCTCCGTCCTTAGATTGGGTTAGGCCGTCCATAAATTCTAGCAGGAGCGGTTTTGAGGGGATCGGTGTTACACTGGGATATCAAGCTATTGATAGTGAAATGATTTAAGATTTCCCGTTTAGGAATCCGTTTCATCGCCTTTCTCTGTACGCTAGTGATGCTAATAGGCCTGTATCTTCTGGGACTGACAATAATTTCCCTCCAACTAGAGGGAAATCTACGTTGATTGGACGAATATAGAGGCATCAGGTTGGAATGCTCTGCACGTGTGAGCGGCATTTCTTTTAGGATCCCTGAATAAACCTCGTATGGCCCCAACGCACTAAAGGGGTTAGTCCGGTGCAAAACTTTTCGACCGTCCTCTTCTGCAGAGACAAATTGGACCGTTAGCCGATCGTTGTTACATCTTGACCACATTGAACGTGATACCATTTGCACAGAATACAGGCCTGTGTAATTTTCCTTGTAAGATTCAGATACCGCTACTGAGTCACCCATGGGTTCCCTTTTTCTGTCTCTCAAGAAGAAGATGGTCGGTTGATTTTCTTGGTGATGTCTCAAGTACTCAAATGGTACTCTTCTGCTTTCCCGGACATGGTCTTATTTTCGTATGTGATGTATGGTGGATTACTGAATTATAGTGGCGCCATGCTTAACGAAATACCCGCTCATCCTCCGAATCTCTCGTAGTCAATTTTTCGGGAGAGTTCTGGGGGTTCCTTTCCGGTAGATGAATCATATTAGAGAGATTTTGATCCATCTGACCTCTCGTTGGTTTTGTGGGGAAAGGAACGCCGCGTTGATCGCGTTAATCTTCTGGGCAATACGCATTTAAACCACTATAATGAAGCTGTTCCAAGTTTTAATTGATCAAGCATTTCTGTGAAGTCCGTAGGGCAAAATTTTTGCATTTGTATTAAGAATCCAGGTTTCTGGCCCAGAAATAGATGGAATCAAATGTCTGAAAACATTGATGTCTGTGCCCTGTGGAGCTTTATTCAACACCTGACCAACGAAGTGCCTTTCGTTATTGATGAACAAATACAGTAGGAATGGCAGTTAGCTATGCTCTATCTGGTTATATAGACGACATATTGAGGCCTGGTTTGTGTCCGAGGCTTAGCAGGGGCACCTTCGCCATAAATATCTACGTCCTGCCCTGGTGACCCCAAGAACTGCCCCTCATTTGCAGGGCGTTTTGACCCCTGAGTTTCCAATTTACACGGGCCTTTCGTCTCTTGGGACGCAGTTGTTGCCACCGTAGTTGAACATTTCGACAATTGCTGGTTGTAGCTTTTGCAATACTACCATCTGAATGGCTAACTTGTTGTCCATCGAGCACGGCTAGTCATGTGCCCACTTAATTTCCCAGGCTTATGGTTGAGTTTAACGAACAAGATTTCTCTATGAGGCCCCGTCGTGTCGCTTGCGCTTTATACGGCAACACCAAAGAGTGTTTTTTGGTGGTGCTCTAAAAAAGCTCGCTTCCGAAGAAAGCTTCACCTTGAATCCGGCAACCGGCTTCTCAGCTGGGTGGAGTTTATGTGACTTATTTGACCGCAATCGCTCTTCTTTTGTGTTCGCATGGACTCCTGGGTTGTCCGCGCCCAGTGCAGCTAACTCTGTGTAGGCATGGTTCCCCGGTAGACTGTTGTCAGTTTTGCGGCGTTGGATGTCGGAGCCTTGGTTGTGACTGTACCACATGCGGGCATGCCGTTTTCAATTGGGTGGAGCTGAAGATTAGTAGCTTCGCACATGCTTCGGTTATGTGGCTCTTACAACAGTCCTCAAGATTGAGGGTATGCTTGTGGTCGATCCGTCTGTGAAGTTTGCTGCTTGCCTCCATACAGCTGACCCAATCTAGATCAGAATTTGTAAAATGCGTCTGGACTTTGCTGCTGTGCATTTTTCGTGCGCTTTAGAAATAATCGACAATCATTCTTTATACGTTGCGCACTGTGTCCTCGCGAGGCTTGCGAAACGGAGAGGATTTCTGACGTTGCAAGTAGAGAGGTCTGCGGCGATCCGTAGCCATGGCCGGTTGCTTCGGTGTGTTTTTCAGAGCACCAGGGTCTTCAACTACCATCGGGTTGGCCATAAGTTTGGGGTCAGCTAAACTGTCGCAGAGAGGACGTACGTTCGGCGCCTTTCCTTCAAGATTCCCATGGCCCACTTTTTGCATTTTTCAAAGGCGATACTTGGATATAGCGGGTTGCCAGCATTCAAAAGACTTTCCCAAACATCACGCGTAGAAGCTCCACTCTACGATAGCTGGGGCGGATAGCGTGACTAGTTGCTTAAAAGTTCTCTACTTCCCTTTAAGCGTAGCCATTCATCGAGAAGCAATAATAATCAGGTTTATTCCCAACTTGTGGGTGGCATACCGTCTGGCATGATCATAGTTTTACGGTCAGAATGGAGCATGACTGGGGGATTTGTGGGGGTGCGAGTTGCACCAAAAGAGAACAATGTCATAAACACTGTAGAATACCCAATGATATAGTAATAATAGGCTATTTTCCAACTTGTTGGGAACAATGGGCATGAGGTGCGACAAGTTCAAAGACAGCCAGGTGGCATGGACTAAAACTGAAAACCATTGCTGGCCATGAGTGACCTTGGGTGGTTAGGTAAATGGCCGGAATCACAATGAGCAAAAGTGGAGATGGAGATGTGATAATTCAAACTGGGAGCACATGGCAAGCCGAGCTCCGTATACGGATGTGAACTTGTGCAAGAGGCAAGCCGAAACTGTAGCAGAAAAGCCAGGCTAGCCAAATCCGAGGGAAAATTCATTGGGTACGGAAGAGCTCATCCCACAGAGGAGGTCGGAAGAGAACTGCTCGAAGTTGTGGCTGCAGGCTTGAGTGGGCTTGAGTGTTGACTGTACTACCAGGAAGTGCTTGTACCGTGGTCGTTGGTATGGTCATCTTGAAAAGCGACCCACAGATTATCCGTCTCCTCTTTGTAATGTGCCTTTCACTAGTGATGCCGTGACGGGCTCGGTTGCCGCATCAAAGAGCCGGATATCTAACTTGGTAGCCAATGAACCGGAAAGGGTAGCGACTTTCATCCATAAATCACGTTGTCTTTTGGGTTTTCTTCCAGAGGTTTGGGGAGAAGCACCAGTTTTCACGTGAGTATCCCCATTAAAATGGAACATTGGCGCTGGTCTTTCCCACTAAGAAATGGAGACTCGGTTTTGTTTCTGAATCTGGTTATTCGTGAAATGCACATCATCCTTAAGTAAGAGGTAGCACGCACAGACAAACGGGCTAGGACAGCTTCAAAATTGGTTCATCTGCTCATCCTAGAAACACGTTCATTTGAAAAGCCGCCAGGCCTTTCGAGCGAGACTTTGCATTTAAAGTTCTACAGTCGATGTTGATTCCCCCCGCAAATCAATGGCGACCAGCGGTAATTTTCCTTGTTATCTGACTGCTCATCAGTAAAGTGACAACCAACTGTTTATTGTGACCCCGTTTCGCTTCCTCGTTGCTGGTTTTCGCCTGTTTCCTTCCTACCCAGTGTCTGCTTTTTCCTCAGTATCTGGTGTCAATATTTTGCTTTTACCATGCCTAATTATTGGCGCCCTTGTCACCCCAATATCCAGGTTTATGTCAGTACAATCTCCTTGCTATGCTCCTCCCCTATCAAGTGCGTTTTACCGTCTCCCCTATTCCGACTTGATCCCACCAAATTAGCCCGACCTTTTTTGTGTCTAAGCACACCGATTTTTGTTAAGTTTTCACACTTCCTTGCAGTTCTAGAGATCCGAAACTGGCCCGTATTTTCGACTTCTCTGTCTCCAATGTTTTTATCGCGTCTAAATAGAAGGCGTTTGCCACCAAGTATGAAGTATTATTATTGTGGACCACAGACCGTCCGGATACTTCCAGGGTCAAATAAACCTTTACAATTAATCTGGTTCCATTTTAGGGGAAAAGTCATGAAATGCCTGGCCATGCGCACATTTTCGGACCAACACGCATGATTTGGTGGCCCAAATCAAGGTGCAAAACAACGGTTTGATGTGACTGGAAAACAGAAAGGTTTACGTTGCTATGGCCGGTTGGGTTCCTGAGATTGTCTGATTTTGTAGCACAAAATGCAGGATTTAAAGCCGAAGTTATTGGCTAGCCCTTTGCGAGTTGGTTACCGTATTGCTATCTTTGCGCATAAACGCTGATTCAGCTTCTGTGTATGTTTGAAAGTTGGGTCACGAATTTAGCCTGGACGCCAAAATAATTGTGTCAACTGAACTGGAGAGGGTGAGAATCTTTCCCCTGATTCCCCTTAATAGCTCCTAGTTCGGATTAAGGGAGTGGCATCTCAGCGAACTTGCTTTGCGCTCAAGCACCTTCACTTTTGACCATTTGGAATTAATGCGCAAGATACGCGAGGTTCTATAGTACCGGTGGGCACAACGCACCGTTTACTTTCATGAAACGCCTCAACATCAGACAAAACGTGGATGGCAGTGATTTTCTGGGCCGCCGACCTGCGTTGATGAGGCCATGCATGGC